TGTGTGTGTGTGTGTGTGTGTGTGTGTGTGTGTGTGTGTGAGAGAGAGAGAGAGAGAGAGAGAGAGAGAGAGAGAGAGAGAGAGAGAGAGATATGATGGCACACACTGGGTCTCACACTTGAAACCTCAAAGCCTACCCCTAACGATACACCTCCTCTGACAAAGCCGTATCTCCTGATCCTTCCCAAACAGTTCCACCAGCTGGGGACCAGGTATTGAGATCTATGAGCCTCTGGGGGCTGTTTTCATTTGAACCACCACTGTGCGTGATGCCGTGAGGCACACCAGCGACTTAAGTACACGCCTCTCTACATGGCACTGTGCTTTGGCACTCACAGGGAAGCAGGTGTTTGCTTGATGCTCTAAACAGTCAGGTAGCATGTAACTGAAGCTTTCCTGGCCCCACAGTCTGCCCAGCTCTCCAGCACCTTTGTGGTGGTGTGAAAACATGGATGGAAAATACGCGAGGGATGGGGGGGGGGTGTGCCCATCCACACAGCTGTTTACACACAGGTGGTGGCCCATAGGCTATACCTAGCTAACTTGGAATGACTTGTTCTTGAAAGCAAGCACAAAAAGATGGCACTTACTAGTGGGACTCTGAAGGGTATCCACTGGGTGAGAGTTGAGGGGAATTGGAATGGCTTTTCTGTGCCAGTTGGAAGGGAATGATTTGAGAGGTCTCTGAGGGCTGCATGGGAGTGTTTTACCCAAACCAGGGCTGGGAAGAGAGAGCTCACTTAGTTGGCTCACTTAGTTCTGTCCTTAGAACCTACATTAAAGAAAGGGCGTTGTGACATGCCCTTGTGATCCTGGTGCTGGGGAGGCAGAGACTGGAGGATCTCTGAGCCCCCAGGCCAGCCAAGCTAATTGGCTTGGTGAAGTTCCAGGCTAGAGAGAAACCCTGACTCCAAAAAGGTAGAAGGTACCAGAGGAATGATTCCTGAAGTTGTCCTCTGGCTTCCACACACATATGGACACACATGCATAAAACTAGCTCACACATAGTACCTGCACTCCGATGAACCAACATAAACAAAATGTGCAGATCTCTTTCTTTCTCTCTGACTTTTAAAATTTTGAGTCTAAGCCCTTTGTCACTGAATTTGTTTTCAACCAATTCCAAACTCAGAGCCATGCTAAGTGAAAAAGATTCTGTTGCATGGTGACCAGGCCAGTCAGCACCAGCCTGACACAGGAAAGACAGAGTTCTTGGGCCAGGAGATGAGGGTAGGAATCCAGCTTCACAGCGTGTGCAGTGTGGTGTTGGGCAGGTTTCTGCTAGCGCTCTGCACCTTTGTTTTTCTTGCTTGAGAACAGGGATCATAAGCTTTCGGGGGAGACTCAGGATGAAGGGATGAGGTGGTATAAGCTGAGTACTAAGGAGTCACCTGCTCTCGGAGCTGCTGGACAGACAGCGGCTCCTGGCATCGCCGCCGCCGCCGCCGCCCAGCACCTGTGTGGTTACTGAGCTATTTTATGACACTGTGTTGTTCTGCTGTCACCCATGATTGGCCTCTGTGTTTCTTTCTTAGCTGGCGAGCCTTCTGCAGATGATTTGAAGTACACATATGAAGATTTTAAAAATGGGGCCTCAGATACTTATGTGACATACCTCATCAAAATAGAAGAGAAGGGACGCTCGCTGGGCTTGTCTGAAGTCTTGAAATATGAAATTGATGTGGGGAACCAATCCACCACCTTCGCCTATTACAACGGGAGGCTGGAGCCGCTGGGCTCCTACCGGTAATAAGGGTCTTTGCAGCTGAGCCTCATGAATTTAAGGTTCTGCGTACTAAGGTGATAGATACACCCCAGTTACCTTATTTTCTCCTTCGTTTCTCCCATAGGGTGTGTGTGGCTGGCTTCACCAATATTACCTATAACCGTCGGAAGGATGGGCTCATCAATGGGGACGAGAGCTATGTGTCTTTCAGTCCTTACTCGAAGGCCGTGGTCTTGCCTCAGGATCCAGGTAGAGGGAAACAAACATCAATGCAGTGGGTTTTCCACCTCATGTCTGCAGAAGTCTGCTGTCCATGCACCTCTTGCAGGCACCTTGGAGGGTAGAGGTGCCTGGTTTTCTCCTCTCAGAAACTGACATATCCCTTGGCCTTTGGGCCAAGCCTAGCTCCCCACTCTGGTGTGTTCGAAAGAGCTGCTCCCCATTTCTCTCAAACTACTCACACTTCTCATCTGCAGATTACTTAGTCCTTTGCTTTCTAAGAGTCATTTTGGGGCCCGTGTGCCAGCAAACATGCGACTTAGTTTAAAGAGTCCTTGAATGTTGACATTAGAAGATGCCACAAAGTTGTGTTATCCAATCTCTGTGTAGAAATAAGACTTCTGAGGTCCAGTGTCACACAGTGGCTTAAATGCAAAGCCTGGAATTCTAGCCTCAGACTCCTTGTAAAGTGCTCCTCCTACCTAGTATCACAGAGTTAGATAAATGGGAATTTCAGGGACCCAAGGTGAGGATTCCTTTCCTCCTCTAGGATGGAGACACAGTGGCTGACTGGTCTGTTCATTTGTTATTCATAACTCTTGAGTAGAACAGATAACCTAGAAGCAAAATTCAGGGAGTCCCTACTCCTCCCCTTAAATAGCCCATAAAAAGAGAGGGGGTTCCCTGCTATGTGTGTGGTGTGTAAGAGCTTCTGCTCATAGGTGGTGGGAAAAACCACTGATCTTGTTCTCCCAGTTCACTAAATTTGCAACTGAACTGAGACCTAGCCAAGGTCTGTGATGTTCTCAGGACCATTCCGCTGATGGTGGGCTCAGGGTGAAGACACCATCCCTTGAAAGCTGTTGTCCAAAGATCCTTCCTTCTCCCCTGTGTGCCCCACATGCCCTTTCTCCCTGAATCCTGTGTGGGTCCCGGCTGGTTGTTGACGTAGCACATCGTCCTTCCTGAACACAACCGAAATGCTTCTTGTTGGGACCTTCCTCAGGTGTCATCTGTGGAGCCGTGTTTGGATGTATCTTTGGTGCCTTGGCCATTGTGGCTGTGGGAGGCTTTGTCTTCTGGAGAAAGAAAAGGTAACACTGCTTACATCATCATTGTGTGCTACTGTTTGAGGAAACCTTTTATTGTAAGGAGTTGCATCCATTTGTAAAATCAGAAGGAAGAGTTGTTGAAAGAGCACCCATGTTCTTCACTCTCGTCATCTGGCCAGACTTATTTCCTCTCTGACTCCAGCTGGGTGATTTGATTCCGAACCTCATCCCAGCCACCACAGGAGACCTACAGCCCTGTGCAGGATGCTGCTTTGAAGCCAGGATGCTATGAATGTGTTAAGAGTTTCCTATGATTGTAGAGTTGGCCAAGTTCGAACTTAGGTTCTACTCTTGCCAGCTGTTGGAAGTGGCTTAGCCTTACCGTCCTCCTCTGTGGTATGGGAACGAGTGCTTGGCTTAAGGAGCTGAGGAGTGCGTGCTGACCAGTGTCTCACCCCATGTCTTGTTACTCATTTGCTTTCTCCCACCACCCTGTGATGGAGTTAGTGAAAAGCTAGTGGGTACTTTTTACTTCATGGCCTTCCCAAGGCTTTACAGGTCTTAAAAGCCCCTCTAGGGATGCAGCATCAGTGTGGGAAGCACCAGAGAGGAACTTGAACTTGGTCTTGGTCCTTTCCCTTGCCTGATGGTGGGAAGCCTGTGTATCAGTTGGAATTCACTCACTGCCAGATGCTCCTAGCTGGATATTCCCACCTGATATTTGGTTTTCTCGACATCCTCCCCACCTCCACCCCACCCCCTCCCTTTTTTTTAAAGACAGAGTCCTTTGCTTTCTAAGAGTCATTTTTGGGCCCGTGGGCCAGCAAACATGCGAGTTAGTTTAAAGAATCCTTAGGCTATTTCAAATGTAGCTTAGGCTATTTCAAATGTAGCTGAGGATGACCTTGAATTCCTCATCCTCCGGCCTGAGATTATAGGCATGTGCCACTCAAGCCTGTTTTTAACAAGAAAACAGTAATTGAAAGATAATTTCCCCTAAATAAGTCAGATACAGCTGCTTCTCTGCATATGAACTAAATCTTTTATACTTAACTAAAAAAGAATCAGAACCTAGTGCAAAACCCGGAATGTTCAGGAGTCAAGTTAATAGGGCACAGGGAGCCAGGGCCTAGCAGGAAGCTGGTGGGAAGAGTTAGTCAGAGCCACACAGTGGGATCTGTCGCAAAACAACAAGTAAGCCACCACCAAACCCCAAATTCAAACCCTTGGTGGCAAAAAAAATACCCACAAGAAAAGCCAAGAAATTCGGTAACCCGTAATTACAGCAAGTCTGCCCTTACCATTTCCATGTGATTATGACGCTCACCCTGGTCGAGTCCTGTTAGACACATTCATGTCTGCCCTGTTTGTTCACGTAAGACCTGGTGGGGGCTTCATTCCAGCATCATTTGACATAGCTACCGGTATCTACCGTCATTTCTTTAACCATTTCACTGGATACTTGAATTCCTTTTGACTACTTTGTACCTAGCCTTTGGGCACGCTCAGGATTATTTCCCTAGGCTAAGTTGCAAGCAGGACAGTTACCGGGTCAGTGGTTTGCTTCCCCCCTATTTTGGTACATGCTGCCCATTTGCGGTTTGTCTCAGCACCGAGGGGAGCTGAGCCAACCAAGCAGGTGCTTGCAGTGGCAGTATTGGATCTGACTCTTTCAGGGCTCCTCCCTCTTCGCATTAGTTGGCGTTTACAGTAAGAGACTGTAACACACCAACACACACCACACACACACACACACACACACACACACACACACACACACACACACACGGAAATTCCTAAAAGTTGCAAGTTTGCAGATTTTTAGTTTACATTTCCTGCTTGGCCTGTCAGGCTGAGTATTAGTGAGCAGGTTCATGTTGGTGGGGCACTGGTGAGCGGGTTCATGTTGGTGGGGCACCGGTGAGCAGGTTCACATTGGTGGGGCTCTGGTGAGCGGGTTCATGTTGGTGGGGCACTGGTGAGCACTGTAGTGTTTTACCAGAGCCACTGCCTGGGAAGAAGGTGTCTGTGGCTATGTGAACAGGGGCAGGGTGAAGGTCTTTGTCTAATGCCTCTTTTCTCCCTTTCAAAATAGGAAAGATGCCAAGAACAATGAAGTGTCGTTTTCTCAAATTAAGTAAGTCTGAGTTACAAACTTATTTTAAGATTCTCAGTCCCCAGTCTGTTCAGTGACTAGCCAAAGCAATTTTTGATAGAAATATCTGACATTTCCCCTGATTGACAGATTGGCCACAGGCATCTGGAAGTTCTTGCTGGTTTCTGCAAGGAGTCTTATTTTTACTGTCCTCCTGAAGTTCTCTTTATTTTTGTTTCCCCACGAGCTCTTCGGTTTTACTAATAAGTAGTGTTCTCTGTGTGTGTTTCGTGTACCTGTGTGTGCAGGTATGATCCCCAGGAGTGCTCAGAGGCCAGAAGGGGTGGCTCTGCTCCCTGTGTTCCCTTGAGACAGGGTTTCTACCTAAATTCAGAGCTATGCTGGCAGCCAGCAAGCCCCCGTCATCCTGTCTCTACCCCGATCCAGCACTGGGGTTGCAGGTGCCTGTGGCCACACCTGTTTTTATATGTGGGTGCTGAGGATTGGGATTCGAGTCCTTGGGCTTGAGTGGAAAGCTGTCTGACCCACTGAGCTTTCTTCACAGGTCCCCCCGCCCCCCGGGTAATTGTCACATTTTACAAAAGTGATTGGATTATCAGGAGCTGAGGGAAAAACAGTTATTTCAAGTCACAAATATGGGCAGTTGTAGGATGAGGCTGCTTTTCTGATTTGCATTTCTTCAGTTTTTTTTTTTAAATAACTTTACATTAATCTGCAGTCCACACCCCTCACTGTGTCTGTTCTTTTGAGTTGATGCTTACGTCTAAAATGAGCACATCTTTCTGATTGATTAATGTCTTTCCTTTTTCCTTTCTATGATGAAGACCTAAAAAGTGAGTAGCTTCATTTTTATATCTTTCATTTTTTTTTTTTCTGTTTTGAGTATGAACTTAATTGAATGAAAAATAAGCAAAAAAAAAAAAAAAAAAAAAAAAAAAAAAAAAAAAAAAAAAAACCAACAACACGTTGTTTTGTTTTCGTAGGTCCAAGTTAATCCGAGTGGAGAATTTTGAGGCCTACTTTAAGAAACAGCAAGCTGACTCCAACTGTGGGTTTGCAGAGGAATACGAGGCACGTGGTCGTAAACTGTTTTGTATCATGGTAAACCTTTGGGTGAGAGACAGCCTAGAGGGGAGAGAAGATTGTACCTGTTCCTCTGGGGCACTTTGCTGTTGGCTAGAAAGTTCACAGAGACCTTGACTTCTGGTGGAATGAATATATGTTTCGTCTTGTGGATACCTGAAGATTGTCCAGAGAGAGACAGAAATGGGGGGTTGACCCTAGGGGACCATTAACTAGGGTCATTGTATGAGCAACAAAGAAGCCAGATGGGCCATTCGGAGGTCTGGGGCTTGACAGCTGTGGGGTCGAAGCTGGCCCTGGGTTAGGCGTTTCTTTGCTAGTCTCTTGCCTTCCGGGCTCTGCTACTTTCTGTCCCCCAAACTAGCCGAGGAACTGTCCGCTCTCAGAAGGTGCATGCCTGCTTGTTCCCCACACGGTGCCCTGTTGCAGAGTCTACTTTTGCACCCCTTGAACCCTGCCCACAGCTCCATCACAGTCCGTCCTCAGTGCCGACACTGCCTCCTCCCGATTCCTCAGATCCCACAGGAGGACCTAGTCTCTGTCTGTGTTGCATTTGTCCCTACACTGTCCCATCTCTGGCCCGTGTGCCTCCCTCTGCCTTGCAGGCCAGTGACTCCTGACTATCCAGCCTCTAGAAGGCAAGACCCCTCCTTTTCCATTTGTTTTTTCCTCTAGTTTAGTTTCTTAAGCGCTGCCCCATCAAAGGACCATAAACTGGGTGGCTAAAGGCAAATGTACTGTCTCACTGTTCAAGAGGCAAGAGGTTCAAAACCACAGTGTCAGCAGGGCCTGCTCCCCCTTAGCCTTTAGGGGAGATCCGTCTCTGCTTCTATCAGTTTCTGGGAGGCCCATTGTCCCTTGGTTTGAGGGAAGCATGGCTTCCATCTTTGCCATCCACTACCATCGCCACCAAGAGATGTTTCTTCCCATGTGTCTCTGTCTCTGTACTCATATTATAACATTACCTTTATTAGGTTAAGGACCCACCCTGTTCCAGTGTGACCTCATTTTGACTCGATGGTGTCTTCCATGGCCATATCCTAGAAAAGCCTACTCATAGATATTGGAGGTTCGATGCTCAGCATCTCTTCCCAGTTAGCAGTAGTTAGTCTGTTCTGCCTCTGCATTCCTGCTTTGTTCTCCCCTGTGCCTGATTAAATATACAGCTCACTTATCTTGTTTTCAGGATCTGAAGCTGATTGGAATAAGTCTACCTAAATATACAGCCGAAGTAGCTGAGAACAGAGGGAAGAATCGCTATAACAATGTCCTGCCTTGTGAGTGATTCCTTCCCTGTCTTTCCTTTGTTTGGCACTGGCCATCACTTGTTGAACAGTAGAGAAGTGGGGAGTCAGTGATACCCACTTGTTGTCTCACTATTTCAGCACCAGATACTTCTACAACCATGTACCTAGTATGAGCCAAGTACTCTATGAAGAGTTACTAGATTTAATTTAATCCTTACAGCCTCGGCTTGTAGAGTAGCTGGTAGAATATTCATTTCACAGATACAGAAAATGAGCCACCGTGTTAGGTGACCTATTCAGGGTAGCAATTCTTATTCTAGTCTGTGTTGTTCTAGATGAAAGGGGCAGTGGGAGAAACAGGTCCAGGGTCCCACTCTCTCCTTGACCAGATCTTTGAATGGTTGGGCATGTTCCACAGCTAAATGACAGTCACACTGAAGTCCTTTCCTGCCTTGGAGAATTGCCAATGTCCATACTTGGTGCTGGTTGCTTTTGACTCAACCTAGAATCACTTGGGAAGAAGAGTCTTAGTGAGGAATTGTCGAGGTCAGGTTGGCCCATGAGATGACTCTGGGAGGTTATTTTGATTGTTAATTGGTAGAAGCAAGCCAAGGTCCATTGTTTGTTCTCTCTCTGCTCTTGCCTGTGGACATCATACTTTAAGTTCCTGCCTTGACTTCTCAAGATGGATGTGATCTGGGATTGTAGGGCATGTAAACCCTTCCTTTCTTAGTTAAAGTGCTTATCACAGTAAAAGAAATGAAACCCGAGCAGCACTTGCCCAACAAGGCGAGAGCAAGCTCAAATAAGAGGAAGGTCAGTAATGTGAACTGGACTGTGGGAAGTCGGTTGGTGTGGGAATTAGGGCCCAGAGAGGAGTGTCAGTGGTTCTCAGCCCTGCTCTGATGTTCTGAAGGTGCTTGGTTTTGGGGGCGACTTTTGCACCATTTAATGACTTCATCTTTTCTTTTTGAAGCCGTGCTTTTCAATAAACTTGTATTTTAAACTCCGTGTTTTTTAAGTCATGGGTTTTTTTTTTTTTTCTGTTTCTTTCCCCTTTTACTTGTCAGTGGGTCTTGGCCCTGATCAGAGAGAAGTGCCTTTGGAACTATGCTGGGGGAGCTGCTCTGCCTCTGCCCCTCGGAGACCCAGACCTTTGGCCTGCTCTTAGAGAGCTGCTTCTTCTTCTTCTTTTTTTTTTTTTGTCCTTTAAATTTTTTTCATTTATTTTACATACCAACTACAGTTTCCCCTTCCCCCTCTTTTCCCATTCTCTCCCCCCACTTCCCATCTATCCCCCCATCCACTCCTCCTCCATTTAGAAAGGGGCAGAACTCCCATGGGAGTCAACAAAGCATGCCATATCGTGTTGAGGCAGGACCAAGTTCCTCCCACTGCATCAAGGCTGGGTGAGGCATCCCTGTATGGGGAATAGGTTCCAAAAAGCCAGCTCATGTTCCAGGGAAATGTACTGATCCCACTGCTAGGGGGCCCACAAACAGACCAAGCTACACAGCTGTCACCCACATGCAGAGGGCCTAGGTCGGTTCCTTGTAGGCTCCTTAACTGTTGGTCTAGAGTCCATGAGCTCCCATTTGCTCAGGTCAGCTGTCTCTGTGGGGTTCCCTGTCATGGGTTGACCCCCCTTGCTCATAGGATCCCTCCTCTCTTCATCAGCTGGACTCCTGGAGCTTGGCCCAGTGCTTGGCTGTGGATCTCTGCATCTGCTTCCATCAGTTACTGATGAAGGCTCTCTGTTTTTTACCTCTGAGTAATACTCCATTGTGTAAATGTACCACATTTTCTCTATCTTTTCTTCTGTTGAGGGTCATCCAGGTTGTTGCCAGGTTCTGGCTTTTAGGAATAATGCTGCTATGAACATAGATGAGCAGGTGTCCTTTTGGTATGATTGAGCATTCCTTGGGTATATGCCCAAGAGTGGTATAGCTGGGTCTTGAGGTAGATTGATTCCCAATTTTCTGATAAACCACCATACTGATTTCCAAAGTGGTTGTATAAGTTTGCATTCCCACCAGCAGTGGAGGAGTGTTCCCCTTACTCTACATCCTCCTTGGAGAGCTTCTGATCTGATTTGATGTCTGGGTGTTATTTCTGTTGAGAAGGCTTTCACTGGAGACACATCACTCCTGGGTTTACTGTTGCTGTGCTGCTCTGTCTCAGGGAGAGTGAGGCAGTGGGTTCAGGTGGGGACAGGGACATGTCCTTGGTACCAGCACCCATGACTTATCCTGACATTTGGAATTTCTTAGTTATTTTCACTTCTGGCATTGGGCACATTTGTGTGTATGCTTTCAAAATGAGAGTGATATTTAGAAAATATGTGAAATTGATATTTTAGATTCTTCCATTCATAGTAGTTTTATGCATTCAGTTAATCTTAAATTTAGAGATGTGTGTGTGTGTGTGTGTGTGTGTGTGTGTACGTACGTAGAGGCCAGAGGTTGATGTTGGGTTGTCTTCCTCAGTTGCTCTCTGCCTTTTTTTTTTTTTAAATTGGAAATACTTTTTTATACAATATATTCTGATCACACTTCTCCTTCTTCATCTCCTCCCAGATTCTCCCCACCCATCCATTTTTGAGACAAAGGTCGTTATTGATCCTGGGTCTTTCTGATTCAATTAGGTTAGCTGGCTATGGAGCCCCAAGGGGCCTGCTTCTTCCTCTCCAGTGCAGGGATTGTAGGTGTGCATTGTGGGTACTAGGGTTTTGAACTCAGGTCCTCATGTTCATGTGGCAAGCGCTTTACTGACAGAGCCATCTCTACAACTCCAGATTTAGAAGTTTAACCATCTGTCTGTCTGTCTATCTTTCTGTCTGTCTACCCATCCATCCTTCTTTAATTTATTGATTGTCTATATGAACGGGTGTGAATGTGCCATGGCACATGGTGTGTGGCGGTCAGAGAACAACCTGTGGGAGTCAGATCTCTCCCTCCATCATGTGGGCCGTGGGGGTCAAAGGCAGGTCATCAGCCTTGGCAGCAGGCACCTCTAATGCCTGAGCCATCTCACTAGCCCTTAACAACTTTTTAAGGCAGCGGGAAAAGGTTAATTTGGGTGTTCTTTCTGCTGTAGCAGAATAGGCTCTGGGTTCAAATCCTGTCTGTTGTTTCCCCAAATAGAAGGACTTGGAAGTGTCACTTGATCTCTGAAACTCTCGATGTCTTTATCTTGAACGTTTGTGAGATGGTTTTGAGGTGTGAATATGGTTGTTTAGCACCTGTCCTGTTTGAAGCAGACACCCCGGGATTCGGGAGGTAAAGACTTGTTTTGTCTGAGAAGGTGCTGAGAACACAAGCTGGCTACCAGGCTGCCTAGGTTCAAATCCTAGTTCTCCTCAGACTGTCACTGAGCTTCTCTGTACCACAGTCACAGAACCCACAGGGTTCAGATGAGGCTGTGAGGATGAAGTGTGAAGCAGGGTGTCAGCCAAGGGCTGCCAGTTAGTTCTTCTAAAATCCTGTGTGCAGCTTTCCTGAAACCTGCCTTAGAATGAGGATCTTTCTTTCTTTTAATGCCGCAGATGATATTTCTCGAGTCAAACTCTCAGTCCAGACCCATTCGACAGACGACTACATCAATGCCAACTATATGCCTGTAAGTGATGGCTGCTCTCAGCCCGAGGTCTCCTCTCAATCGGAGTGTTTCTTTCTGTGTCTTTGATGATGACTGAGCTTTCTATTTCTAGGGCTACCATTCCAAGAGAGATTTCATTGCCACACAAGGACCTTTACCCAACACTTTGAAAGATTTTTGGCGTATGGTTTGGGAGAAAAATGTATATGCCATTGTTATGTTGACCAAATGTGTGGAACAGGGAAGGGTAAGTATCTTTTGAGAAAAATATAAATTAATTTTTATTGTGGTAGGGGGTATCTTAAAATCTGTTTGTCTTTTAAAAAGCACTCTTCCTAAATGTTAACCTCTTCATCCTTAGAAAATGTTCTGTATTTTTAGCTTTTAGAGAGAAGGTTTAAAAAAAACTTGAAAAAAAAAGCTATTATGTTCCTTTGTGAGCTCATCTTATTGTCTATGATTGAATCTCTGCTGGAGTCAGTGAGTGGATGGGACTGGATTAGTGCAGCGGACTCTGTGGGCCTGGAGTGAGGTAGCCGACACGGCTCTGCCGGCGTCGGCGCTGCACCTGGAAAGCCTGCCGTCCCGTCTCTAAGCAACCAGCTCCTCAATCTCTGATTTTCAAACTTGGTTTTTGACACTAAAAGCAGAATTTCAGACTTATCCCCAGAGGAGTCCCAGAAGCCCTCTCTCTTCTTGTGTGGCCTGGATCCCTCCTGCTATTTCTATCACAGATAAAGATCTCTTCTAGGAATAAAGGCTCATATTTCCATAACTAGAGATGAGTTGGAAAACACATGCTAAATTAAAAAATTGTGTGCCTGAGGAATGAGAATTAATATTACTTCATGGAGAATTATTAATTACTGTAATTTAGTGTTGGGATTGGACCTTGGCCAAGGCCTTGCTAAGCACATGCTCTGCTGCTGAGCTGTACCCCGGCTGTCAGTGTTTTGTGTGGTGTTTGTTTGATTTTGAGACAGGGCTTCATTTAGCCCACGCTGGACTTGAACTTGTAGCAATCCTCCTGCTTCAGACTCCTAATGGCTGAGTTTACAGGCATGAGCTTCCATGCCGGGAATAAGGTCTATTCTCTTTCTTTCTCTCTTTCTCTTTCTTTCTTTCTTTCTTTCTTTCTTTCTTTCTTTCTTTCTTTCTTTCTTTCTTTCTTTCTTTCTTTCTTTCTTTCTTTCTTTCTTTCTTT